AAAGACTTGTTATTTACAGCAGTGGATGAGTGCATTCCCAAACGCAAGAATAAAAAGAGATCCAGTGCCCCCTGGATTACACAGGAACTTATCGTTTTGTGCAAAAAGAAGAAATTATTGTATAATAGAGCTCGCAGAAAAAACAATTCAACTATTTGGGAAAAATATCGGCAACTCAACAATTCTGTTAAGAGACTTTGTAACACAGCTAGATGGTCTTATATAGAGAAACTTGCACTTGATCTTCAGGAAAATGAAAACCCGAAACCTTTCTGGAATTTTGTTAAGTCCAAGAGAAGAGGCACTAATAATCTCATCTCTATAAGCGTCGATGGATGTGTTCTGACTGACGACTTCAGTATTGCTCAGAGTATGAACTCATACTTCTCTTCGGTGTTTACTACCGAAGATTATGCAAAGTTTCCCACTCAAGACTGCACTGTTGACAAGAAACTTGCGAAAATTGATTGTTCTGTCAATGAGGTCAAACGCCATCTTCTGAAACTCAAGCCCAATAAGTCTCCTGGGCCTGACCATATCGCGCCGTGCATTTTTAAGTCGTGTGCTTCGGAATTAGCACCTTCGTTGACGTATATGATAAACAAATCGTTGTCTCTTGGCCTTTTGCCTGAGGAATGGAAACATGCCGACATTACACCTCTACATAAGAAGGGTTCCAAATCTTCGAGAGAAAATTACCGCCCAATTTCCCTTACTTCAATTGCTTGTAAGATCTGTGAAAAAATTGTTTTTGATAGGATGATTAAGTTCTGGCGCGAAATCGACTTTATCAATAGCAACCAATTTGGCTTTTTACGAGGAAGATCTACTACAACTCAAATGTTATCAACGTTTAATGACTGGGCGAAATCCCGTAATTCATCCACTCCTACCGATGTTGTTTTTCTGGATCTTGCCAAAGCCTTTGACAGCGTTCCTCATGAGCGACTGCTTTTAAAATTGAAATGTAGCGGCATCGACGAATGTTTACTCAACTGGCTGAGACATTTTTTGGTGGGGCGCAAACAACGTGTAGTCGTTAGGGGATCTTATTCTGATTGGTCGTGCGTTACCTCCGGAACTCCACAGGGAACCATTCTCGGGCCCCTATTGTTTTTATTGTATATTAATGACATATCTGAATTCCTATCATCTACAGTGAAACTATATGCAGACGACACGAAGATCTACAGAGAGATAATTGACCCTATAAAAGATAGTCAGCTTCTTCAGGATGATCTTAATAATCTTAGCGCATGGGCTCGTAAGTGGCAGCTACGTTTCAACGCAGACAAATGCGAATCTATGCGAATTACGCATTTACGCGATAAGTCGGTAACTAATTATTTCTTAGAAAAGCCCCTGAAAGATGTGACTAATTTTAAAGATCTCGGTGTCACACTAACTAGAGATCTTTCATGGGGCCATCACATAAGTATCACTGTCAATAAAGCGAACAAAGTTTTAGGTTCCATTAAACGCTCAGTAGGCACCGCTAACACAAATGTTTTTTCTATGCTGTACATGTCTCTGGTACGGCCAATCTTGGAATATGCGGTACCTGTTTGGTGTCCTTACCTTGTTAAGGACATCCATACCCTTGAAAATGTACAGCGAAGAGCCTCAAGACTCGCTTTAAATCAACGCAAAGGAGAAATGTCCTATGAAGACCGATGCAAACTGCTAAAATGGCCCACTCTCTCTGACCGTAGAACTTACTTATCTTTAGTCGAATGTTATAAGATAGTTTTTGGTTTTTATCATTTAAATTTTGAAGACTTCTTTGATATTGCCACGATTCGGTCTACGAGAGCAAATCATCAATACAAACTCTATATTAAACCAGCTAGACTTAATTGTTACAAAAATTCTTTTTTTATTAGGATTGTCAAATTATGGAATGAGTTACCGGGTGATATAGTGGAAGCTGACAGCTTTCAGCATTTTAAATCTAAACTTAAATCGTACTTAAATATTTGATTGTAATGATTTTGATTTATATTTTGTCTTTTCTTTTAAGGGAGTTTTTACACAGGGATAACCTCTTAACTTCCTTTTCTAGAAGTATTTTCTTTTTAGTTTTATTTGTATATAATAGTTATCATCTGCTTCTGGAATAACCACGATCCTTCGCAGTAAAGCACTATTTGAGCAATAGTGAAAATCAGACCTGAAAAAAATTTCAGGCCTGTACGGGACTCGAACCACTGACCTCTGCGATACTAGTGCAGCGCTCTACCAATTGAGCTAACAAGCCAACTGAGAGCAGGCCATCAAATTAATTCAGTCAGTGGTTCGAGTCCCGTACAGGCCTGAAATTTTTTTCAGGTCTGATTTTCACTATTGCTCAAATAGTGCTTTACTGCGAAGGATCGTGCACATATATATTTGGTGACTGTCAATCTCGACCGCGTGAAGAAAACCGCCGACAAACTTCCAAGTGATATGTTGGACGCTCTTCAGCAAGAGATCAACAAAGACATCAAGAGTAGCCAAGAGGAGGAGGCCATCAAGATTTTGGCGAAAACGATAGGCTACCTTGGAAATGTGGTAGGACTGGGCTCCGGGATTCTCCAGATTGTCCGCTACAGTCGAGCTCAAAGAGCTCAAGGTAAAAGCCCTCCGCCCGAAGAAAATACCTTTGTAGAGAGTGACCTTCCTCTAGCACCTGGCCAGGAACGTCCAGCGGCTCCAGCAGAACAAACCAGTTCTCTCTCAAAAACTCCGAAGCTGGATAGACGTATCAGGGTTCTCAACGTCGCAGGAATAGTGTTCGGGTTGGCAGGCCTCGCAGCGACCGTCGGATTAGGGTTGTGGACCCTGGATAAATTGCACGATGCAATAGAACATGTGGAGGTGAAACAAGAACAGGTGACTAAATTTCACGCAGCCATGGAGGAAGCCTTGGATCCGATCGTGGAGGTAGCAGGTCTTCCAGCCAAGAGTTATGACCAGCTCAAAGAGATGGCAGATGCCCGGAAGAATATCTCAGAGGAGTTTGATAGCTACGAGAAGGCAACGTACTATGCGATTCGCGGATATTTCATGAATAAGCCGCTGCGCGAAATCAAGGAGATGGTAGATCATTACAGCGATGCGGGGAAACGCTACAACGATGATGCTTATCCACTTGCCAAGACTTTGGCAGATGATATCAAACACTTATTTGACGAGAATAAGACAGACAAAGAGATTGTAACTTTTTTTTGCAACTGATCATCCAAAAATAGGTCTTAGATTTGTATTCGATGAATTCTTTATTTGCTCTTCGCGCTGGATAGCTTGAATGGAAAGCCATTTCTGTAAGTGATCCGTATTACACAGGATTTATTGCATGCCACAACGGTCAAAGAGACAGGACGCTAAATTCTTTCTGAACTGACACTAATAACACCTCTATTCACTGCTCACCTTTTTATACATCCTAAAATTAGTATGCATATTCTCCATACTGTTCTCTATACATTTCTTATGATGCTGACAAGGATAATTTGTTTAACAATCAAGAGTCTCTTAAATGGTGATCATTTATTTCCTTTATTCTCTTAACTTTTATGTGTGATTTAGGAGTTATTTTGTAAGGAGAAGTTAGACGTTGGTTACTCTTAGGTGTCAGTAGGCTAAAGTAAATAGATCGAGACTATACCTGGTCGTTTTTCAAAGCAATAGATGCACTCAGAAATGATGTAAAATACACTGACGTAAGTGACAGATTTTGGTTGAATATTCATATTTTCAGGTTTTTTCGTTTCTGAGATGTAGTAAAAAATTTGTTGATCGGGCAATTGACAGTTCACCACAGAATAAACTATAAAATTGCATTCACTTTAAGGGAAGTGTTTTCAACTTTTTCTTGTCTTAAGACGAGGCACTTTTGAAATTGTTTTTGTAGAGAGGACATATGTTGTCTGCTTCGTTTTTTAAGAACCCTTTATTTTATAATTATGCCAATCTGACATCATTTTCTCTGTCACCGTTGATTGTTTTGATGTTCGTGTAAGGGTAGCTTTATCAGTATTGAATAATTACAACAATTGTCTTTGTCCAAGAGTTCATAATTTTTGATATCATTTTGCAAGTGAATTGAATCCAACCGTAAGGTGTCATTCGCGTGATGGAAAATCTTTAAAAGTCTTTAGCTAGGGGAAGAATACAAAAGCGGCGAGTGTAGGCCAACACACACCTCTACTAGCTGTAGATCTTGCTCCACTCGGTCTTGGGCTTAACTGATAACTATTGAATTTTCCGTGGTGAAAGTTCACATTAATTTAATTTCCTAGTTTTGCAGACGTCTTTTCAATATAAAAGGGCAAATACATTTGTTTTCCTTCAAACGACGGAAATTTTTTCTTTGGCTGTTATGCCTAACCAAACCACTTTACCTTAAATATGATGCGGCAAAATGATTTCCCCCAATTTATCCCAAGATGATCAAAATAAGCGCAATCTACTGGTATAAATCTCGTCCCAATCTGTTTGATTATAAAAAAAAAAAAAAAATTAGCTTCGCTAACCGCAAGTCACGTTGAGTCCAGTTCCTGTGCAAGCCCTCTGTTTACGTGTAGCAACCTCTCACTAAGATACGATTTTAAATGGTTTGCGGATAGCGTTTTATTTGCAACAACTTCAAATCTTGAACGAGTCCGAAACTGGTCAAGTAAAATATTTACTTTTAAACGAGAACAGACGCTTGTGTTTTGCTTGGAATCATGAAGGCCGATAGGCCTTAGATAATAGCTGATACGCCTACAATTGGAGTACACATTGAAATTGCACCCCACGATAAGCTGTTCACCAAAACAACGCTAAACCACAAATTTCCAAAAAGCAGTCAAATCGTCGTATATTCCTGCTTCCAGTAAATTGCTACATAGCTATGCATGTAAATAAGGAGTTAGTTCTTTCTCACAGCTGAATAAATGCTCTATCATGCTAAGACGAAGAAAGCCATGGCATAGCTGAAATTCCGCGTCACACCCTTGACAAGACATTGGTCGATGACATAATTAAATCTAGGTCACAGGCAACTTTGCTTGGCTGTACACAAGTAACATCGATCCTTGCTGGGTTGTTTTGGCATTGTTTTAGAGAGTTGGCTTTCGGAAAGTTCTCACACAGAAAGCAAAATGGAGACAATTAGAAAAAAGCTTGATATGCTGCGAGAAACTCTGAATAATGCAGAAAGCAGAGCACATTCGGCCGAAGACGAGTTAAAGAAAGCCAAAGAGAGAAATGCAACTGTAAGAATCTTAACTGGATTTTGTAGTTTTACGCTTGCTGAAATGCGCCTGAAACTTTTACATTTTATATTCTCATGCGAAATATCCTTTAGTTTAAGCTACTTACGTGATTTAAGTCCCTCTTACTTTCAGGTTACATGAACAGAACTGTCGGCCAAATTTATAAACAACTTGTAAACTAGAAGTCATGTATTGCGCTTTTATGTTTTCCGTAGGCAGAAGAGGAAGTCAAGAAACTCACCCATGACCTTCAAGACATTGAAGACCAGCTAGATGGGAAAGAATCACAACTGGCTGAGGTTAACCTACAGCTAGAGGAGGCCGAGCAAACCTCAGATGAAAATGAGAGGTACAATTCGATCGTTCATAAACTAGGAAAATATCTCAAAGCAACAACTACCAAGAGACTTCAACAAACATGGTTAAATAACACTGCACTATTGAATTCTATACCAGGTTATCATTGCCGACTTTTAAAGCTGCTTCTCTGTGTTTTCGTCACTTTATCATACGTAATTTCTTTCCGTCTGCGAGCATGCATTTGAATTACAGCAAACAAAGCTCATTATACAGTTTAAAGGGATGTTCTTTTTGGCGACTCTGTTCTTGATTCGAGAAAAATTCCGAGCGATTTACTCTTCCTTTAGTCTCCAAACGATTAGTAACGAATGTTAATGAGTATTTCGCGCACATAGGCTTCTCGGCACACAAAATATTGCACAGTTTCGATTAACAGAGTTTTTAGCTAAGGCATTTCGTGACAGTGCATTGGACAAAGCGAACTGATTCAACCAAGCGAGAAGCGGTCAACTGACAGAGGTCGTCTAATTAACCTCAATTTATGGCATCTAATATTCCTCCACGTTTTCAAAGCCAACGCTCACGAATTTTACTCCTAAGAAAATTCTTACGGATTTTTTCAAGACAAAACTGAAAAGTATTAATATCGATAATTATAAATAATCGTCATAAATCAATTCTAAGGACCGATTTTGCGGTTCGTATGGCGCAGTTAGGGTGCAATCGTCTCAGCCAATTACATTCGTGGTAAACGTGACCTCCCAGAGGTAATCAGTGTTGGAATATGTTGACGCACTATGCTATTATCATACGGCCGATAAAATCAGTTGTTGTCAAATTGGAATTTTTTGTTCTTACGAAATGTGTTTGTAAATGATGGTAATCCACAATTCCAGAGAAATAACTGAAATGTAGAGCATAGGGTGTACCTTTCACGCTCTTTGTCTGTCCTCGATTGTCTTTTAAGACGCAGACCGATTAGAAACCGGATAATTTCAGTTGTGCATCCAGTATAATACACTAGATTGTGATTGTCAAATTCTGGTTTCTACCTGCTTCAACTTGATCATGAGCCCACAATAAATTCATTTGTTTTGTTTTTTTAGCATAAGTTTAACGCTTCTTGTACAAGTTTGGTTGCCGGTCTTTTGTAAGCTTGACGTTTCTTTCTATTCTTAAGTACGGAATTTTCCAAAATTGACCACAATAGAAGAGTATAATGACCCATAATGAAAACTGTGAGTGCTCAACGGATATAGATTCAAACACGTCTCAAAACTAGGCTATCCGCTAACCTTTACCATAATTTTCGATCCTTAAATCTCTTCGTGGCTTTGTCGCATCCGTTATGCAAAGTTCTCGATTTCTAACCTTCATTGCCGCTTTACCAAACTCCGTCATACTCGTGAATCCTGAAGAATTTACCCCTTTTATTTTCGACTTTTTCATTTATAATCTTCGTCAATCTTTGGCCTATTTTTCTATTTCATTTTCACGTCTTTGATGTTTGCCTGGTCACTAATTAACAAACTACTTTTTTGAACCTCGCTCATGCAAATTTTCGACACACATTCGATAATCAGCTAAAGAAGCTCTTGATTGTTAAACAAAGCTCCTTGTGTCAGTATCTTAGGAAATGTATAGAGAAATAATTTCCTCCATTCTCGCAATCTTGATATCGTAAAGGAGAAATAAGATGCCAGTCACTCTTAAGAGTTAATGAGTTGGGGGTAGCAGAAAAATGTCAACAATCATTTTTTACAAATGCTGATAATATATCTTACTGTTGATTTCTTTTTGCAGAGTGAGGAAGGTTCTGGAAACTAGGGCCATGGGTGACGAAGAACGAGTTAGTATAATTGTCACGGTCCTTTCAGTCAGTCTTTTTGTAATACCGATTTTCACAGATACGTATTTAACCGCGGTTTGTTGTTTCTCATTAGCAAGCCCAGTTTGAAGCCAAGTTAGAGGAAGAGAAACAAAAGCATGAGGATGCCGAAAGAGAAATTGAAGAAGTAAGAATCAATTTTCCCGTGTACCCTCCCTCCCTTGGGACTTTCATACGATAACTCAATTTGAGGGGGGGGGGGATAATGGGTTGAAACTTTTGCCATAGAGAAAGTTTTTGTATTAGTGTGGGGGTTTGTTCCCTTACAAAATGTAATGCACGCTTTTTCTCGCCTTTGCCGGTTCTCTCTATGCTTCAGAGGATTTGATAAGAATTCCCCCTACGATTACTCCTGATCCATCAGTTTCATAAACAGGTCTTCAGAGATTGTCACCCGAGCTGTCCGACTTTTTTCGTGATTGATACTTGCATACACCTGCTGAGATCTTGAACCAATTCAGAGTTTTTCCACTGATCATGGCTAAGGGCACTTCTTTCCATTTTCTCTAAAATATCCCGTATCAATCATTCTTTTACAGTTGGAAGCAAAGCTTGCAGCGGCGGAAGAGGAACTCGATGAGTGGGAAAGCCGCGCTGAAGACGCAGACGAGTAAGTTTTAAGTAAAGATGATTTACCTCAATTTTTCACTCTGAAGAAAACGCAAGGATTAGAAAGAACAGACCTCTGTCTGTAATTATTTTTCTTCACCCTTGATCGTCACGCAACGTGTTCTCCCCTTTGAGTTGTGTGACGGAACGAAACAATGCCGGTGATGATCCTACTTTATTGCATGCATTACATGTGTCCTTTCATCAATTTCTATGAAATTTTCAATACTTTCCCCTTTTTTCTTGTTAAATTTTGCGCTGGAAATTGGCGCACGCACGGTCAAAATCCTGCCAAAAGTGACCAGCTCGCGTATGAGCTTTGTTTGACCGCTTCTGTACTCCTTCGCAGCCGTCCCTGGGATGTCACACAACGAAATGCGGTAGCCGTTACGTGACATTCTAAGTAACGAATGCTCAGGTTAACCATCATTTTGTCTAAATCTTTGTAAGGCGAGTCAAAGAGTTGGATGATGAAAGCAAAACAGTCGATAACACTCTCCAGTCTCTGAGGGTCCAGGAGTCCGATGTAAGGCACTAGCTCTTTTGTGTTCATCATCAGATTGTCTGGTAATGTGTTGTTGTTGTTATTGTTGTTGTTATTTCTGCGGATGATGTCAACTTGAAAACCTAAGAACGGAAATTGTAAATGCAGAAGTAGTAAACGGGACACGAACAATGAGGATGGGGCATCACCCATCCGAGAGCGAAAATAAAAATAGGAAAGGAAGTGGAACAAGGAATGGGAACCCGTGCTCAAGATTTTTTTCAAAACAAGTGTTGAAATCTAACCCGGTTTTAGCTTAAGGCAGTTCGTGTTGCACATTGATTGTGTCTTTTTTTTTCCAGGGCAACAGACGAATTCAAGAGTTAGAAGAAAAAATAGAGAGAATTGGGCGAGAATATGAAGAAGTGAGATTGATATCAAACACTAATAATGTTTAAACGATGCTCAGAAAGAAGCACTTGTACTCTTGAGGATTATGCTTTTGTTTGTATATTCCTAGAGAGAAAATACTTCTATCTCTTTGTTGCGAGCTGTCAACCTTTATGGAAAGATTTTTCGGCTTAAGAAACGGATTGTTTCCATTACTATTATTTATTTATTTTTCTATTTTAACCAGATTCTCTTCACCAGAGGTTCTAGGAACCAAATTTGACTCACGCCCAAAACCACATTTATCGGCTCGATCTCCATTCAGTTCAATCGACCTGAGCATTTCAGTTGCCTGCCTATAAAACCACATTTATCGGCTTGATCTCCATTCAGTTCAATCGACCTGAGCATTTCAGTTGCCTGCCTATAAAACTTGTTATTTATTAACCTTTAACTCCCCCGATCAGATTGTTAATTCTCCCCTTTAGCTGAAGAACAATTTTCTGTAAATTATTTGTGAGAATTTGGTGTGAGATCAATATAACAACTTTCACCTGATAGGTATGCGTATTCTCATTACCTGTTTGCTAGATATTGTATGGATATTCAAGGGAAAAGTTACATGTTGATCACCTGTAGGAGTTAAAAGGGTAAGAAACTAACCATATTTTTCAATGTTTTACAGACTGTGCAACGCGCTGATACAGCAGAGGCTCAAATTGCGGATTTGGAAAGAGAAGCTGACCAATTAGATGGTATGAATGGCCTTTTTCGTTCACATCGGAATGTTTGAATGTACTCGGGATAGGCGAATACAACCGTACGAATGTTTTGTTAGTGCAGAGTTGTGCAAAAGAGAGGGGTGGGTAGGGTTTAATTGAAAAACTTGAGGGAAGGGGTGTGCAATGAACTTTATCGGTGGCTTAGAAGTCAAGAGGACGCCAGAGGTTCATAAGCTAGTTAAGCATTCTGTTCTCACCTCGCACCTCTCCGCACCCTCCAGGGAGATATTGCGGTGGTAAGAGCGGGGGGATGGGGGTAGGGAAAAGGGTTGCATGAGAACCCTCCGGTATCAGTCGAACAACTTTATCTCAAAATCTATCGCTGTTGTTTTGCTTTGCAGCTGCCTTAGAAAAAATAAAAGAGAAACATGCTGAAGCCGAACAGGAGTTGGTTCAGACTATACAGGAGTTTGAGGAGATGTAAGACAAGAATCATTATCAGTTTTTTATGGCATTTCAAGTGATTTGGCTGATTAAACGATAATTCAGTAGAGAAGAGTTTCATAGCCATCGCTGTAAGCTTTTTGAGGTTTTTTAAGACATGTAAGGTATTTGCGTTAACCGTTTTTGATGGTCCAATAAAAACATTGTACTTTGTCAATATATTGTTGCGTTTTGATTGTTATTAGTCTGGAAAGTCAAGCAAAGTATCTGGCAACCGAAAGAGTATATGTTATTTAGGCTTTCAGCTGCAGCTGTTATTTTTCAAAGCCATAGGCAGATACAGGGAGGGTGCGGGAAGTAATGGCAACGAAAGCGAAACATCAACCCATACCGAGAAGTATTAAAAATTGACTCATTGAAAACAAAGTGAGTTTGAGGCCGTACTCCTTGAATTGAATCTGCAATGTTGAGATATTAAAGGTGTTATTCTAGGCGTTGACGGATTTAACAGGTGCACATTTTTCTATTCTTATCACAATCGTTTGCACTGCGCGCTCATATGCCGCGAAAGTTGAGGTTTTCAAACCGGTTCGTGCTGAAAGGCTGTTAAAGATCTGTTGAGTTGTGAAATAGATGGTCCTTATCGGCCAGTCGTACCGCAATATTCATGTATTATGACCTGCCACGATAAACTCTTCGGTCCTATGGGACGGACCAATGAGGTGATGGAAGGAGGGATTGCGTTTTTTAGAGATGTTCGCAAGGATCGAGGGTGGGGGTTGGGGGATTGCTTGCGGAGGTTTCTCTGACAAGAATTCCAGATTCCTTCCGTTGGACGGTCGAAGCATTTTTCCATGACTCTGCTTCCACTGCGTTTTGTTTTCGTTTAGTCTGTATATTTTCTTTTCCTCTCTAGGCTACCCAATCCAGGTAATTCGTCCTCAAACAACCCAATCAAGCTTTACCATCACTGTAGACATTTTGACACCTTTTAAAGTGCCCCGCCCCTGACTGACCCTTATTACACTAGAGAATTCTCCAAACCAAGCCGCAATCTCATGGACAAAAAAATTAATTCAGTTCATCCATAATTATGTTCGATCACAAATAATACTTCAAGTCTCTGGTTATCTACCAATTTGATGCAAACTTTTCTCAGATCTTTCTAGAGCGGAGTAGCATTCGCAGCTGTCACCAACTAACTATTCACGTGATCAAATCTGGTTCTCTATCAATTTTTTTCCTTTGCGTACATTGAAACAACGTCATCGTTTAGTGAAGATAAAACGATGCCTTCATAATTTTCTTCGTTCATGAGATCAACAGGAAAATGTTTTCCATAGAGTATCGACGTCAACAATTTTCCCATCTTTGTGGCTTGCACGTGGGAATACCAGGGTTCCCAGGCGAGTTTATTTACACAGGGCTTACCTGAAGTAATTTGATTAGGTCAAAGTATTTAAAGAGTTGATTAGGACAACCATATCGAAGGTGTATATTCAGTCCACCAGCCAGGTAAGCAATCCAACGAAATGCGAAACTGTTACGTTAAATACCTCTATAGAAAACGTGGAACCATCGGGAAAAAACAAGGGTTCTGAGCATTTTTTCCCGGAGATCACAGCCAGTAGCAGTGTAGTATCTTTTTAGGGCATGGGAAGAACTTTAGACTGGACACTCGATTTGATTCGTTGGCGGTCTGCACTGTAACAGTTAATGCAAATACAGGTTTAAAACGAGGAAAACATGCGTTAGATACGAAACAGTGTTTTTTGTAGTCTCCTGGTAAAAAATTTGCTGGTTTCGGCTGGAAACGTTTCTTGTGAGGACCACCCAGTTTTGGCGGGAAAACTACCTCGGTCTTAAGGCGCGCCTCTCTTCACGAAATCTTATCACACTATAGGGGCTCCATACGAAATAGTTGTTTCACTAACACAAGGATAAGTGCATTGTAAATCCCCTCAGACTCATCCATTTTTATTTGCGCTTTTACAAATTTCTCTCCTTTCTATTTCAGTCGGACGATCTGGTCTGCTTAATTAGGTTCTTTACACGTGCTCCAAAAACTGCAGATAACTACCTCCGCGAATCTATGATGGCTTAATAAGTGGCCCTGTACTAATTTGAATTAACTGTGAATTATTCAAGAGTTAAGTAGGTTACTCGACTTGATTTCGGAATCAATCCACGTCAAAATAGCATATCAGACTAGTGATGCCCACGCTTATTTCCTCTTATTTTCTACGATGGGTCTGTATTTAAGAGTAATCATTTATTTAGGATAAAGGTGCAACATTTTATGTTTAGCGGAAGTACAAGTTACGCTGCGTTCATAACCTTGGGAAAAACATCACATTTGAAAGTCACGCTTTCTTTGCATCCGTTTTGGAAGCACTGTCACGCTATTTTAGAGCACATAAGGGAAAAATTATCCCAGATGCGTGACATAGCTGTAATCAAACTTCATTTTCTTTCAACTACTAATTTTTTTATTTAACTACTAATGTCGACTGCGAGTATTACTAAATCTCACATTCTAATACAGTATGCAGGTTTCATATAACAATAGACCATTACGCTCAGCATCTCAAGTGGAGGTTTGGACAGAACACGGCATTCAGGTTTTGAACAGGGTTTTCATCAGAGGAATACCTACTAAGGTAAGCTGATTTTACAGTCACAAATCTGTTGACATTATTCAGTTGTAAAAATAGAAAAATTAATTAAAACTGTCAAAGAACCAAATTGGAATTTTTTTTTTGCCAAAAATCCTTATCAATCCTTTCTCACCAGTAAGGAGGGGGATCAACAGGGTGCATTGATATAAGAGCTGTTTGGATCTCACCTGGCAACACTTCTCAGACCATAGTTGTCCTAATTAACATTTTTCAGTTTTCATCTAATTAACTTACAGATGACTGAGCTTCAGCTTGAAATTCTCTTTGGTGGCATGGGTTTTGAGGTACAGAATGTGAGGATTATTGAAGATCTTAGAAGTGGTACAAACAAAGGGTAAGTAAATCATTACTCGTACCCTTTTAACAGTTTCCAGTGCATTCCCCAAGCTCAAAGTTCCATCTTCTTTCACAGATATGGTTTTGTAACATTTCGCACAGCAGAGGAAGCACAGCAAGTGAAAGACATGGTGAGATCTTAAGTTATCTCCAACCACATGTCACATTTGTAAATAGTTTAACCTGATTGTGGAAAACCTGAACGAAAGCCTAATAATGGCGCTTCCAGTCAAAAGAGACAATAGTTGTTGGGTTAATCTCTTACACCCTTGTATTAACAACCAGATTCTCCCCTGTGATCTCTTTACATTTCCTATGATACTATTAAGGAGAAGTTGATTGAGGATCAAGAGCTTCTTAAGTTGGTGATCATTTCCTTTATTCTCATGACCTTACACTTGATTTAAGAGTGACATTTTTTAAGGAGAAATTAGAAGCCAGTCACCACTCTTTGAAGTTTAAGGGGCAAGAAAAATTTGGGGAAATTATTTTGTAGGGCTTGGTGCGATGGAAAGGAAAAACTCTTCAAGTTGATGTAGCAGTCAAACGAAAGGTAAAGAACATGCATTTTTCACTAGTATTGTCTTGTCATCTGTAATACCTAACTCAAAGTGACCTAGTTAAGATAACTGTCCTGAATCTGCTATAAGTTGTGTATTTAAATGGAAGGGGGAAAAACAGAATTGAATCAGTTGGTTTTATTCATCTAGCCAATGATGTGGGCCCTTCAACAGAGGTTTGCTATGACAGCAGGACAGCAGTCTGCTATGACACAGGGAGCCCAGGCAGTTTATGTAATGGCTGTTCAGCCAGATACAGGGTATTCAGTACCAGTTATCATGGATGGTCTTGTAAGTTAAAACAAGTTCTGTATTTCTTTGTTGCTGTTGTTATTTCTGTTTTTCATTATGGTTATGCTGTCAGCAAGATGGAACTTCCTATATGAGGTTAATTTTCAGATGATACAATATTTCTTTCTTATATTAAACAAATTAAGGAAAACATATTTCAATAGTTTTTGTATTCAAGCCCGAGTGCAAACATGCACCAAACAACTAAAATGAGAGAATTGCTTGTTGGAATGAAATTTCTCAAGAACAGTTACTTTAAATGACAAAATTCCTTACCAAAATTACTTTCCTTTATTTTACTTTTTTTCTTTTTTTCAAGGCATGGCAGTAAGAGTCGAATCAACAGTTGAAGAAACAACATGGAACAAGACATTTGTGATAGATAGTTGTGTTTTTAATGGCTAAATTAAATACATAATGATCTACAAAATTAGTAATAAACATAGGAGGAAACTTCAATCATTTAAAAGTCTTTAATTACTATTTAACTAGTATTTTAATTGCTGAAAATGTTGTGAAGTAATTGACTTCAAATATCAGTAATGTTTAGGAGATGATGTGGACCAGTCACATCTAAAAGAGCCACAATTTGTATCTAATGGATAGTCACTTGTAGCTAATATCTGACCAGTGGATGTATTACTTAGAATATTTAAGAAAGGAAAGTATTGATTTAACTGTTGAAATTAAATGCCTTTTGCCTCAATGCATGGCTGTTGTTCGTCATGAATAAGGGTAAAATTGATTTAGAGAAATGACTGCCAACAGAAATTCTCCTTTGAGTAATGAGAGATCCTTTAAATGGAAGAAAGGTGAGGGTGGAGTGAGGTAATTGATTTACTATGCTACAGTAGTGAAAAATAAGTTAGCCTTTGCTCTTGTAGAGGGTTCAAAGATTGTGAGATAACTGTTAACCACAACATCTTTACATGACCTAAAGTTAGCTTCTGCAAGTCATTTTTTTTTCCTGCTGTAGATTCAGGTTTCGTAGGCTTCTTGAAAACCCTTGAATTTCAGGAGGCCCATTTGAAGGCCTTGAAAGTACTTGAATTTCGTTTTGGGTCCTTGAAAGTCCTTGATTTTTTATTGAACAACATCGAAAAGTATCTTCTTTTGTTTTGCACCATTGGTAAACCCAAAATATAGATGTCAACAGAAACATTTTTCTTGGTTTTGAGGTAAAATTGTCATTACAAAAAGTCCTTGAGTTTCTAAGTAGGGTCCTGGAATGTCCTTGAAAAGTCCTTGAATCTTTGGCCTGAAAAAGTGTACGAACCCTGTAGATTCTAAGGAAAAGTGTTGTTCTATATTTTGCTACACTGAGTTTGGAATATTTTTCGTGAACTTTTTTAAGCTAAGAAAAAACTTAAAATACCAATTATCAAGAAAATTTCTCAAAACAAATAACCTACTGGTATCAATAAACATCAACTAAATGTTTTAATCATTACTCAAGAAAAAAAAACTAACAAGATCAAGGAAAATATCTGGAGTAATGGAATAGATCTCTTAGAAGTTCTTTGTCAGTAGCAATCATCGAAGTCACTATAAACAAATTCCCTACAAAAAAAAAATGACATACAAGGGCCTCTAGAGACACCATTGGTACAGATGCAAATACATCCCTTTTTGAAAATGTAATCCAACTTTCATTTCAAGAACTTTCAATTCATTCTATCCCCTCTTGTTTATCTTTGACTGATGCCTGTAATTAAGAGAAAAGGAAATTAAAACCACTGTACCCTGATGAAATTGAAGCTCATATTGACATAACTTGTACTAGCCAAGTTAACATTAAGCTTTAAGCCCTGGTTAGAGCAATCTGTTGGTAGAGATGAAGTATTAATGAAATTTCATTTCCAATCTTGGACATCAAACACAATGTACAGAACTTTGAATCTGAATTCAGACAGTATAATTGAGACAATTTGATAGAACTATCTGAGGAAGACTGAGAACAAGAAAAATAATCTAACCTTGAACCTTTCCTCTAAAAGAGACACTTCACTGATAAGATCTGTGATAGCATTTGTGAATGCTTCTTGAGGACTGTAGTCAGGTGTAGTTTGCACTCGAAGAACAAACTTGTGCTCAAGGGGATGAGGAACTTTATAACCAGCAAATATTACCTGTGGGTCTCGTAGCAGTTGCCTGTTAGTTGAAAATCACAAATATTATTTTAGAAAATCATTTCATGGGTAGCAAAGTTTATGATAGTAAAACCACCTCTCACATTTGAGCTGGAAAATATCCTCAAATTTTTAGAAAGAAATGTGTCATTCCGGTAAACGGGACTAAATTTAAACTTAAAGAGGCTCCCTTGGTTTGCACCCTGAAAATGGAATGTCTTGAATAATGCTGCTCCGTCCTAAGTAGCCTACCAGTACCACTACATGAACGCAAGTTTTTTTATTGGCCTACATGTAGAATAATTAATAACATAATTATCATCGTGGCAAGACAAGAGTCTTAATGTTTAAAGTAGTGTTGAATGTCTCTGTACCATCAGGTCATCTCTAGATAGTACTTGTCAGAAAACAGTTAATCCTAATTTGATCGTGAAGTCCGTTGTTAATTAAACTTACGCGCGGAGAAGGTTTCCTAATGTGTGATCTTCTTTATTTACGACAAAGTGGGCAGCATTTGGAACTTTGGTATCTTTGGTAATAGTTATCCTGAAAAATGAAGATGTTCACGGATCAATCCTTCCTCCCTGTGTACCCTGTCTAAATCTGGAAAAAACAGCTGAATTACGGTACATACACCTACTTTTTATCTCCATCAAGCAATAGAAATGGTTCAAATGATTCTGGAGCATTCATTTTAAGGGAATCAAGCAGTAATTCTGCACCAAAATATTTAACGAATAAAAGAACCGTTTCCTCTGCTAGAGCGTGTTCTCTCTCTTTTAGAACTCTTAGTATATCATGTAATTCCCTCCATTTCTCTCCTGTAGACATACTAGATCCAGGATCCCCTAGGTCAAAACAGTCCCAGAATGCATCACATAGGCTATTCCCGCCAATTTTGAAGAACGCGCTCTCCATATACACATTGCAGAGCTTCTGAGCGCAAATTGTTCCTTTTCCTTCTTCTTCTTCTTCGATTCTTTCTCTTTCTTTCGTTTCTAAATGTTTTTCTTGTTGTTGCAATTGTGTTGAAGTTCGTAAAACTATGAGAAATCCGGGTGAAAGTTCGGAAGGACGTGTTCAAAGTGAAACTTCGAGCGAAGGTACGATTGGTCCTATGATCCTGCCATTGATAATTTCATACCTTACACAAAAACCTCTGGTTTTATTTATTTTGTTTAAAGCATATGCTAAAGGCTCTGAAAGAGACGAATGTGACAGTCCACCATGCAAAAGACTCAAGCAAGGTCAGTAGCTACGAAATAAGAAAAAAGGGTACAAGGTAAACAATTTTTTCAGCTTTCTCGTGAACGTATACGTATGCACATGAAACTTAAGAAAGCTTGTCGCAGAAGGCATCGAGAAAATCCAGCTTGGACGTTGTGCTCATTAAATGTTAGGTTTCCCAACAAAATTAATAAAGGTAAAAAAAAATTGGGATGTAAAACTATCTATAGTTTGAGGCTGTTTTTTTTTTTTTTTTTAACCTGGCAAGCTGAGAATTTAGAGCTATCGATGATAGTATTACGTTGTGCCCTGTTTTGGCTCGATCAACTATTTGCAGGATGAAACGCTTATACAGTTCTTTTTTTTTGTGCAAAAGAATAGTTTGCTATTTTCACTGCAGTGTGACTTTGAGATATTAATTTTCTGCTAAAAATAAAATTGTAGAACTTTGAAAGAATGCTTAGGTCCTTAATTGTTGCAGATTGTGATATAATTGGACAATATCCTGCACATCTTGAAATGCGTTTACGGTGTTTAGTTGCAGTAATTCCACCATGAAACTCCCAATTTCAAATATGACATATTTGGCAACAGGGAAGACTAATTTAAGGGGTAACCACCATATATATATATTTTTTCAGGTGTATTGTCCTTTCCAACTGTATCTTCATCTCCGTTGACCTCTATGGGATCCATCAAAACTCCTGTTTCTGTCCAAAGTAATGCTGTGAGCATCAGCAACTGCCAAAACAAACTGTCTGAACCATGTGAGACAAAAACTCAACCTGGTGGAGGTCTTGTTACTGGTGCTCCCTCTCCCCCTGATTTAAAGGAAAGTTTAGGAAAGCCACAGAACACCACAGATTTATCAAAAATCTCCAAAAGTTTGGTTCTTGAAAATACAGATGATAAACCAGTTGTGCAGATAGATGCAAGCTCCATTTCATCACCAGAATCCAATTCCTCTTCCCGTGAAGATGAAGCAATGGTTATAGATCAGTCACCACCAGTTAAGGTAATAAATATCTAATGCATAGAGTAGGCATAAAGAAATGCACATCATCTATTGGGTCACCCTTTCAACTCCACTTCCTCAAACTGACCCTATATACATGTATTAGTGTTCTGTCAAAGGGGTCTCCAGTCAACAAACAAAACAAGGTCTGCTATCTGCCCTAACAAGTTCAAGGAGATCTGTAAAGACTGAAGTAAAGTTCATACTGACCTTGATGGTAAAAGTTATCTGAGATCCTTGTACTACATGCAACCATTTTTTCAAACTTTGTTTTCAGAGATCTTGCCACAACTGTATGTACTAGAAAAGGAGACCATGAAATATTTTGATCTGATTTTTTCAAATAATATTCATTCAAAATTGATAAATTTCTTTGATTTTCTATAGGGAAATAGAAGGCACTTAACCCCAAAGAGTGTTGAAAAGTTGAAGAGGAAGGAGGAACAGGTAAAGTGATCATGATACTTCTTGATTAAAACTTAAATTGCAAAAAGGAGAATGGAGAATTGAATGATGTTTCTTTTTTGAAATTGCATTTTCATTTCAGGAGAAAGAAAGACAAGAGAAGCAAAGATTAAGAGAAGAGAAACTTAAAGAAAAGCAAGAGGCCAAGGCAGCCAAAGAAAAGGAAAGATTAGAAGCCAAAAGAAAGCGTGACCTTGAAAAACAGGAAAAACAGGCTGAAAGGGAGAGAAGAGAGAAAGAGAGAATAGAGAGGAGGGAGAAGGAAGAAAGGGAACGTTTAGAAAAGAAAGGAAAAAGAGAGGAGGAAAGGAGAAAACGAGAGGAGGAAAATAAGTAAGTTTAAAAAGAATACAAACAGAGGGTAGTTAGATATACATACATGCACAGGTGTCATTATTTGAATTGCATGTGTTATATGGGTATTATGCAACCTTCATTAGATAAAAGTCCAGTTTGTGAAAGATGTTCAATTCATCATGTTTGGATTCAACCATGATTAAATTGAGGATGAGAAGATCCCAGTAACAGAGTGATGAGAAGTATTTTACATGCAGTCAATAGGATTATCAACTTCTTTTAAAAATGAAGTATTCTGATTGGAAAGGGCTGTAAATGTTATCGTTTAATTTACTTTTGTTTGGTTGATTTCAGTGCAAAGATAGAAGAAAAGAGGAAGCGAGAAGAAGAGAGGAGAAATCAAGAAGAGGAAAAGGTACAAGTAACAGTAGTAATGCTGTTGATCAAAGCTTGGTAGATTCTAAGTAAAGCATCGGTTGGCTTTTTTTTTTACATGATATATTGTAACTAAATATTTTGTACCAATATTACACTGCAGGATTCGTTAGCAATAGTACTATTTTCTGTGTTGTTTACTGTCTTTCTTTGGCAAGGTTTGTCTTATTATTCACTGTTCTAATTGTTTCTCTTTATGTTAGACAAGGAAAAGACTGAAGAGAGAAGAAACCTTTGTAGGCTATTTCACCAAGACATCTGCACCCAAGGTACCAAATTGAAATATTTTTATCAAACACAGATCTTCTGAATCAATGTACAACTGCTGGCTTATCTAAGTTTGTCAAATGGGAGGATATCACACCAACTGTTTTAAGCAACAAAAATTTGGGAAAAAATTGAACTTCAAAACATCTTTGTCAGCCCTAGGACCTATAAATTTAAGAAGGTGGCTCACTTTCTCTGTTTGGTTTAAGATTGGCTGCTACTGAAAAATCTGTCAGATTGTGGGAATGTCCTAACATTGAAGATCGTCTCTATGCTACTAGTATTCTTTGTTTTTGCTGCATAGCATATTAACCCAAGCATTGCCAATTCCCTGGTAATTACATTGAACTAATGAAAGTTTTTTGTCTACTTTCAGGCTTCATCAGACAGTGGTAGTAGATTCAAACCATTTCAGCTAAAAATAGGAATGAGTATTGCTCCAGCAACACGTAAACAATTGTCACTTGAAACAAAAGAGGTCTTAGATATGGAACTGAAACTTCAGGTATGTATCTTGAGCTAATAACAAAATGTCAATAAACAACCAGGCATGCTGAGTAAAGCAATCAAACAGTCTTTAGAACATGTGTTCTACTTTGTCACAGCTCTGAGTAACTAAAAATTGGTGAATCTCCTAGAATGCCATAAGGATCATTCACTGATCCATATTCCAATAAACTGTACATAACAGCTACCTCATGTCTATAAAATAGTGTGGTAGTTTGAATTTGCAAAATCATTCTGCAATTGTGTAAGTTCTTGAAATGGACTCTGAATTATACTGAAAAATTCAAAACAACCAAGTTCTCAAATATCTATGAAGTTCTGGAGTCTGATTAACTTGCCTCTTAATGTGTCTGTACATTACATATATTTTTTAAAAAACTTGCGTTTTATCTTGCAGGAAGACCACAGGTCCTATCTGAGAGATCTAGAGGCTAGAAAACCGATTCTTAAATACAGGAAGAGAAAACTGTCTACCATTGAAGAACAGAATGAATGTGATGCTGATGAAAAAACATCTGAGGGACCTGTAGCAATTGATGAAAACAGCAACTCAAGTGTTGAAATTGTTGAGAAAAAGAAGGACATTTCTTCCTTTATTGGTCTAAAATGCAAACTATTCCAGTTCCATACTGACTACAGGCCAGCATACTTTGGTACATATAGAAAGAAAAGCTACCACATCTCTCCAAGGAACCCATTCAAAAAGGACTTGGTAAAGTCCAAATTATTAAATGATTACCAATTCAGTATTAAAATTTGTATAATGTCACAAGGATGCTCCATTTATCCAGAATTCTAACTACAGATATTGTTGGTGTCAGCCAATTAATTTTTCTCCTATCATTTTGTGTACAAGATTGGCATGTTAGCTTAACCTTCTGTTGCACTTGTATGTCAAAACGTACGATTTAGTAAAATTGTGGATGGATAATCAACAATGAGTTTTAGATCCGAGTTTACCGCGAACCTCTAACTGCTAGAGGTCACGTGACAAGTCTTTCGCATCACGTTTGAGGTTCACGACGGGCGTTTTCAACGTGGAGAGGTGTTTTCACGTAGGTCATTTACCTGAAAGCTTTAAGCATATAATTCTTGTTTTATCCCATGTAATGATACAAAAATTTTGTGGAGCAAGTCTTTATCCATTAACAGAGGCATAAAATCGGGCGAAATGCTACATTTGATAAATCCTATTGGATCTTGAAAACAAGTGCTATTCTTGGCTGCTGATTCAAAATGGCGGCCGTACCCAGAATCCACTTCTTTAATTCACCGCCAATCTAAATCGAATTATGTTTGAACGTCGATCCGCAAACAGGTAACCGCAAACCGCGGTGAGAGGTTCACGGTAAACTCGGATCTAAAACTCTCTTATCCTCAATATTCTTCAGGACCTGTTAGATTATGAGGTTGACAGTGATGACGAATGGGAAGAGGAGGAACCAGGGGAGAGTCTCTCCCACAGTGAGGTAATGATTGTTCTTCAAGGAGACAACAACTGCAGTCTTAGAAGTCCATGAAAATAAATTATTACTGATGGAAAACTCCAACATAATAAGGTACCACTATATTCTTGGCTTATCCGTGCTGTGGTAAGGCACCATCTTTGCATCCTGTTGACCCAGGGCTATATCTACTGGCACTTTGATCAACTTAGCCAGAGTTTTCATGCTCTTTATGCGGAAACTAGTTAGGGTTACAGATCAATTACCTAACCTTCTGATGTGGCATCCTTTCTTACCATGATCAGTGAAGTGAATTTTAATTTTCAGGGAGAGGAAGAAGGTGATGGTGATGATGACAATGGAGATGATGATGGATTCTTTGTTCCTCACGGTTACTTATCAGATGATGAAGGAGTCGAGGATGGAGATGATGATGAATGTGATGAGAATGAAGAGAATAAGGTAGTAGACTTATTGCTGGCAGTTTTAATTACATATTTCTACACAACAAAAATAAAGAGGTATTTTACTGTATTGCTATTACATTTTTTTCCACATAGGGAGAGAATCCTGAAAATAGAAGAGATCAACAGCTTGCAAAGGCTAAAGCTTGGGAAGCTGCAATGAAAAGAAAGTGCAAGCCCATGAAACCTATATCACTGGGATGCCTGTGGCTTGAGGAGGCTGAAGTGAATGTGATGCTCAAGCAGTTTGCTGCATGCTTACTTGTTGAAGGATCCATAAGCATTGAAAGCCTGTCTACAAACAGCAGGAGTGCTGAGTTCTCTGTGGACACACCAAGTAATGGAAACACCAGTGGAGCTCTCTATGTACCAGAGGAAGGTAACACTCAATAGTTTGCTAATGCATAAGAATAAATGAAGAAGAAACATAAGCTATTTTATAAACTCACAATCTGTGACTGGGCAAGAAACTGCCTAAGTGTTGTTGCTCTCATCTTAGTAATTATTCTCTCTCCTATTTCCAGCAATGCCTGATCTAATTAAGTTAGTTCATGGCAATACAGCAGGTCTCAGCAAGTTAATGATCAAGTTCAGAAAGCATTGGACTTCAAAATGTCAGGGTAGAAATGTCACAGATGAAGAAGTTGATGAAAAAAGTCCAATTTCCAAACGACAACTTGAGAAGAAAATTCAGAATATTGCTTCTAAGGAAAGAAGAAATGATCGGCCTCGCTGGTATGTCCACAGTCACATTCTGGAAGCCTATGGCTTAGGTAATTTGGTGGTTGATGGATGTATGAGCTCAGATGCATCTTCAGATGCCCCTAAGTCTTCTGTGGCTTTGCAGGCAAATACTCCCAGTATCACTCAATTTGCCAGGCCTGTTTCACCAACTTCTGCAATGGGTGGAAGTCCTGAAATGCAAAATAACACTCCTAAGATCCAACCAGCAAGTTTATTGTGTACTTCAAATTCAAATTCACCCATGGAGATTGACAACAAGGGCTTAACAGGTTGTGATGGCATTTCAGGTTCTAATAGAGGAAATTTACACTCGGAAGTAGATAGTGAATCCCAAGGCAAGAGTACCACACCAATTTGGAATGACACTGAATTAAGTAAGATTACTCTAACAATGGCTGGCTCAAAAACCAACCAAAATACAATAAATAATTCTACTGGAAATGTTATTGAAACTGTGTATTGACTGATGCTACACTGGTGTTATCTTTCATCTATTTTGTACATAGTACTAGGTAAATTTGTAGCTGATTTATAGAGAAAACACAACAGAACAGGTTTTGTTCACAGTTGAGTTATGAGGCATTTTCTGATTTGATGAAATAAAGATTAAATACAGTGTTACTTCTTGCAGTCCTGAGATAGAGGTACTGTTGAGTTTTCATAGTTAGGTGCCAATCAATTTGAAGCTTGAACATCCCCCCCCTCCCCACCTGAGCATTTGAACCTATGAGGTAGGGCATTTGAACCAAGTGTCAAGTCTTTCCAGTGTAAAACACTTGTTTAAAATGGTGAAATTTGAAAGGAAAGGAGTCTGCTTTTGTGAGCAAATGGCTAAATAAGACAGTTTTCACATCAAATGATAATGTATTGTCTACAATCCAAAAAATGTGCCTGTCACACCAAAATCTAACATGACTGCTAAATTCCACATCACTTGTTGATCACAAAGAATCATTCAATATTTTGTGGGGGATTTGAACAAAATTTTGGCCCAGTGGGACAGGAATTTGAACAAGCATATCAAGAGTTCAATTGCCCGTGGGGGAATGTTCAAGCTTGAATTGATTGACCAATTATCAACTGTTTGACAACTGATGTAAAACATGCAGTGTACAAGGATTTCAGTTTACACATGCAGTCTCTGTCCAATAAATTATGAGAATGTTAAGGTCACCGGCACAGCATGACCGAACCAACAGTTGAATGCAAAATGTTACCTTGAAATGAAAAAGGTATTAAAACTACCTTGGCATAAAAGAAATGTTTTTTTTTTTTTCATGATTACACAAATTTTGGTATTGATAAATGGTTGGGTCTACAAAAATGTTTACCTCATTTGATTAACATTGTATAGATAAGGTCTTGCAACATGAACATCATTCTCCTAGCAAGTTTCTCTAATAAGCAAATACAAATTTCTTCATACTTACGAGTCTTGGGCTTTATTTCTATTTTGGCAAAAATAACCACCACAAATAATTTCCATAATTGAGCCTTTTCTTGGTGCATATTTCACCCAGGCACACAAAACTGGGATCATCATCCAACCTTCACAACGTGTAGGAAAATGTTTTGAATACTGTCCTTTTTATCAGTAAGTTATAAGTGCTATAACAAAATTAAACTAGAAACACCTACATTTGATTACTTATTGTTAATTGTGTAATGGAGTAATTCAACCTTTGAGACATCTTTGTAAAATCCAATTATATGTATGAGATAGCTATCAGTAACTTAAAAAATCTTTCAAAGTACAGAAAAAAATACAATAATGGTCTACACAGTTTTCTTGCTGTTGAAATTTTAGATAATAACTTTCTTAAATTATCCATTTGCTAAGCATTTGAAAACAAGCAGGAAAACTGGGTTAAGTTTATCAAATTGAGGTTCCCCTGTAAATAGGCTGGGAATTGTAATGAAAGGGCTCCAAAATTTCCTCATAGTTTTACTTGTTTTGTTCAGCTTTTCCAATATATATATATATGTTTTATTAAGTTCCTACTATTATTTTTCTTTAGTTTTGTGATGGAACTTTGCAGGAAAAATTGTCTGTAAAGATGAGGAGAATTTTATTTTCAATACTCTCCACAAAAACCTTCCCAATGTTCCTTTCCTTTCCTTTGTGTACTGGACCCAGTTTCCTGGCTCATGTCCAAATGTTCAATAGACAAAGGTTTTACTGCAACAATCTCAAACAACATGCAGATGTGCACAAAAGTTCCCAGTAATGTCTACATCTAAGGGTCACATTGAAAGTAACAAGATATTAAAATGCAAGGGAAAAAACCATAGTTCTGTTTCCAAGAATGTTTGGGAGCTTAAAATTGGTAAAATGATGTGAAGTCTGTAGAAATATGTTGCTTGACAGAAGCTCTAACAAACCAGAAATTGCAATATTTGATAACCTACTCACTTTTTTATTTACACTCATTACAAACAAAAGCAGTAACCATGATCTGTAAATAAACTTTATATTGAAAAAGCATAAGTATTGTTTTAACAGACAGACAGTGCAAATATTCACAGCATCCCATTTTGTTTCTATTGTGTTATGTACTCAATAACTTAAAACTAGATTGTACCAAAAACATTTCAAAAGCTTTTTAAGGATTTCCCTGCACAAATCAGTTTTATTGATAAGTGTACTTGATCACTATTTCATGACCCTCTTGTTTGGGTATTGCTTAGACTCAAGCGGCAGACTGGACAAGAATCATGCTGAAAAAAAGACAAAACTTCACTTTCAGTATAAAGATAACCCAACTACATGTAGTATCTAAGAAGTAAAGGTTAGAATCCTGTTGAAGCCTAAATTTTTTCATGCTCTTTTGTTTTTGCACTTTTTCCAAAATAGTTTTTTTTTTTTTTCTTTTTTCATAACAAGACCTAGTGCTCTACCATTTGCAAAAAGATAAGTTTAATTTGCATGTTAAAGAAGACTTACAATCATAGGAAAGGATGAGCCACAGGACTCCCTTTGAAAAAGAAGCTACAGATAATTCCAATATGGGCTACTCAAGTTTACCTGTAAGAATCATGTCTTTATTTGTTGTCATCCAAAGGCCAAATATTTAATTTTTTTTTTATTTATCTGTGATCACCTTCCTTTACAGGTACAGTGAACCATTAAAATTTGGTTGTTTTTCTCCTGGAGTGAATGTCTATAGGTAATTGTTGACTCTAAATTTTAGCCATGCACAAAGCCTTTTGTCAAACAACAGTGCAACACAAGTTACTGCCTCATGCTTAAGTTAAGCTGATGTTGAAAGATCCAGATTTCCAAGAACAAATAACCTTTCACATGTATCATTATATTACATATCTACTAAAATATAAACTTACCATTTTTAACCAAGGTTTTATACACTCAAAATGGAAGATATGACTACAGGGTAATCTCCTTACATCCTCATCTCTTGAAAATTGTTCTTTGCAAACTGCACAAAATTTATCAGATTCTGGACAACAAGAAAGAAAGAAAGAAAGAAAGAAAAGGTAAAAAAATTGTTAGGTACAAGAACAACAATCGAGGAAAGTGATCCTTTGGTACTGTAAAATTTTCTGTGAAATCAAAGAGAAGGGGTACTTGGATGGAAACACAAATCTAGAACCTAGTGAATGGCAAAATGTATTCCTGCTTTACATACAAGAATGGAATAAAATTGTCCACTGACTGTTATTTTCTCTTACCAGCTGATTCTTCTGTGACTTCTACCTTTTGAAGATCCTCTATTTTTTTGGAATCTGCAGGGGGAGGTCCTGCTCCATCCATCTGGTTTAGAAGCTGTTGAATAGATATTACAATTACTGTGCCACATTGATGGGCCATTATGGGGCAGGAATCGGTTTCTTTGTATTTGCAGTTTTTGAGATCAGTTTTTTATGTCATTGCAATCAAAATCTAGAGTTTTGTTCTGGTATCTACTGCTATTCTTGGATTTTACCCTTTGTTGACAGCTGGTTTTCAGTTTCATGAATGAAAAAAAGCTCTTTTTCAGTTTTTTCTTTTGACATGTCAGTTGCATCATTTGTTCAGTTGGGATCATTCACTAGCCAGTTTTTTTTTTTAGTTTTCAGAAATTTTCATTTAATTTTTTTTCTAGAAACAATGCTTCCCTCCACCACTCTTTTGACTAGTTATTTAGGGTCAAACTGGTGACAAAGTATTAACATCTAAATGAGCCTTTTCATGTCACAGTTATCTTACCTGTGTTATTATTGAATCCAATCCCTCTGCACCCCAGGCATAATCAGCTGGGTTCCCATGGAGACGCAACAAGTTACTATCAGATAATTAAAGAAAAGGAAAGTCAGCTTATAAGCTGGGAGATCCATTATACTCGAGGTTATTGCACTTTCAGGAGCATGCAGTACAAGGGGTATTACTTTTTCTCCCATTCAGGGAGAAAAGTCCACTGTAGGGTTCCTCATTTTCATTTAAAGTGCACCTACACCCAAAAAATTTTTTTCGCTTAACGAAGTAAGCTTTTTTTTTTGAGTATTTCTGTGCAAATCTATGCCCAGTCAAAATACGGAAAATCGGCCGCCATCTTGCCCCACGACCGAGTTTAAAGAGGAATGGCTCTAGTGGGTAATGTGACGTCAAATCGAGAACACGAAAGTCTGCATTTCACACATTTTCCCTTGTTTGGGAAGGTTGTAGTCGATAATTGTCCGAAAATATGCCGACTAAGTGTGTTGTAGAAGGATGTAGCAATGTGCGAAATTTGGAAGAGGGTATCGTGCTTCATACATTCTTCATACAACACACCTAATCGGCATATTTCGGACAATATCGACGACAATCTTCCCAAACAAGTGAAAATGTGTGAGATGCAGACTTTTGTGTTCTCGATTTGACGTCACATTACCCGCTAGAGCCATTCTTCTTTAAACTCGGTCGTGGGGCAAGATGGTGGCCGATTTTCCGTATTTGACTGGCCATAGAAAATTAAAGATTTGAGCAAATTAAAAAATTTTTGCACAGAAATACTCCAAAAAATAAGCTTATTTCATGAAGCGCAAAAAAAATTTTGGGTTTAGGTGCACTTTAAACTCCAAGGCAGAAAGTGGCATTGTGAAAGAGAGTGTCTTTGCCACACGACAGAGACATCTCTGGGGGTTAATATAACCACTCGGCAACTGTGTTGTGCACCAAAGAAACAAACATACCTGGAGAAAGTGCAGTCATGGTGTCTTAAGGAATTACTGTCTAACATAAGTGTCCAATGTGTATGTCACTGATGTGACATGATAGACATGCTGGCAGACAGGTAATATCATTGATTCAGATTTGTCAAGATGGCCAAGCTTTTGTGTTTCACTGAAAACAATACTCATTGCTCTCAGGGTAAATCTCTCCATCTATTAACCCTTTAACCTCTAAGAGTGATATGCATCTAAATTCTCCCAACAGTATTACCCCCCTTGTAAGTACAATACCATAGGAAATGTATAGAGAACAGTATTGAGAACTTGGAAATTGATATCAGGGCTTAAAGGGTTAACAAACAAACAGCCAGGAGTACACAATAAGTGCTGGTAACAATTCAAAATAGCATCCCTCTAAAGAAGTGACAATGAAATGATAAACTGAAAATAAATTGATAAATTGTGCTAACTAAACCAGGGGCTGTGGTCTAGCAGCGCTTGGTGGCCCCTGGCACCTTACTTTTGCTCTTGGGTGACCAAAGAATCTTAGTTTTTTCATAACAACATATTCTGGGCACCCTGGATTTCACAGTTTCAGAGCACTTGTCTCCCTTCAATTTTTCTTAGAGCACAGCCTTGCTAAACTTTCACATTGAACTGAAGATTAAACATACATGAATTACATATTGCCATCTGTAGTATACTAGGACAGCGGTTGTTTATGTAAAAGTATACATCCGGGAAAGTGTGAGCGCGGGAAGATTATTAAAAGAAACGTGTACTGTGTGTACTGTTGTTGTTCGCCTTCGTGGCTGCCTTTTGTGGCATACTTCTTCATTTTTAGACACTACACCATCTAATAATATTGAGATGGTTACAATATAATGAAACTTACAATGGAAATCCCATATTTCCTGATGTTCCTGCTCCATCTTCACTTGTGCTACTGCCTTGAATAAATATAACAACAGCAATAAACCAAAGAGACACTATGGTGAACTAATGGATATACTGTGCAGAATCTAATGATTCCAAGAAACAGATGGAGCCATCATTTTCTCAAGATATTTAACAACTGGTCTGCCATCTTTAACATGCTGCATGCTCTCCCCCAAATAAAAAACACGGTAAACAAAATACCTGGTGATCCCAAGCCACCAAAGAGATTTTGAAGAATTCTGTACAACAAAAGAAAATTACACGATGTTATGTGAAGCAATATACAGCCACACCACAAATGTACTTGTATATGAAATTTTACCAAAGTCAGCCATTTCAAGTCTAAATATTTAAATTCTTAACCCTCCTGAGAGGCAATGCTCTGGCATATAGTGCTCCTTAAGGTATTGTCAATCAAGGTAAACAACTTACACATCAATAGCTGCAGCAGTTGTGGCATTGGCAGCATCTCCTCTTTCTCCTGGCCTCTGATTGGTACGAATACTTATTCTAGTTCTGGGTCTACGTGACCGTCTTCTACCCTCATCTACAAAGTTCAAATTTCCAGCTTCAGAGAACATTAGGAAGTTAATCATAAATAAATATTATCACTACCACATTCTTCCTAGATTCATTGAAGTAGAATTCTCAGAAGAGAAGAAATTTTATAACCACATTATATGTTGTGATAATTCTTTTTTAGTTTGCAACTTTTGTAACCAGCTGTGTTTATACTCATTTAACTTTGCTTTGTATTCAATACAAAATCCAAATTTAATACTTTTTTTTTTTTTAAACAAAATGTCACTTCTTACCAGGCATTGGTCCAAAAAAATTTCTATGAAACAACTGAAAAAGAATTATAATGAAATAATGTTTAGACAATAATTATAACAAAAAAAGAGCATTGAGATATGTTAGGGAAATGCAATTATCTTCTCTGGGGCTGGCCTGTCTGGAATGACAATGATAATAATAAAACCCAGTCAAACTTGATTTGAAACATGGGTTGTAGCAAAAGACAGACAGAGGAATGCTTTGGACCTGCAAACTACAATAAATACCGGTTATCCTGAATTGAAAAACCAAATCTAGTGACTAATTGCAAAAGTTATCAATCAAATTAATGCATATCAACTGTAAATGGCATTAAGATTGTTTAAATGATTTGCTGAAAACAACTTGGTCAATGAACAAGAACAATAACACTGGTTACCCATGAATCAACAAAAACATTCATTTTATTATCACAGAGGTTTGCCAGATTTCAACATGTAATGATCAGCAGTATTTATTACAGTGTAATAGACATGGGTGGAAAGGACTGGTAGTGTGTAGAATCAGCCATGTTGTAACACTTTTTGTGATTTCCCTTAGTTAACTAGGTTGATCCAGCTCCATCATAGTCTTGAGTGATGATTATTACACAGTGAAGGCAAAATATGTATATTAAGTCATTTTTAGCGGATGAAGCAAACAGTCATGTACTTCTCACCTCTGCAAACTGGGCAGCAGGGTCTCTTTCAGCTTCTGCTGTACTTTCTTCCTCTTCATTGCTGAAAAGAATTTAGCATGTAATTGGAAAACCACTTGATTAGGCTCTTGAGACTACTATTGGTCAATGTTGAAACTCTGGAATAATAGAGTTTCTTATCTAACAGATCCAAACTTATGAATCACTTCTGTCACATGTAGGAGTTACACAAACAGCCAATCAAAACCAAAATATAATCTCCATAAAAAAGGCTCCACTTGAAGACCAACCACTTACCATAATACCTGTGAACTCTGAGTCTCTTTATACTGACCAACAACTGACCATGGTACCTCTGTGGACTCTAAGTATTAGGCTACTGTTGACTCTTCATTTACAGAGATCAAACTTCATTAAATACATATATATCAATAGATTATCAAAATATATTATTATTCTCTAAATTAATAACTATCATTTCTTTCCTTGAGCGCTAGCTTTATTGAAAAACAGTGTCAAAACGTTGGTAAAATGTATTCAGGATCAATCTAAGGTTATCATGCAATTAGTTCTCATTTCTTAACTTTCCTAACTGTTACAATGTAATTGATGGATTACCCTACAGCAGTATACCTGTCGCATAATTGTTCAATAAATTCTCCCTGGCATTGTGAGCAAGTCAAATCCTGAAAAGAACACAAGAAATAAATTTGAAACATGACTGCTGAGCCAGTCAGCCCATTAGAATGAAGCAATGTCATCTCTAATTGCATAATATTTGTTGCCAACTATGAATTAATAATTGTTACAAGCTCTGACCAGAGTTTACTGATTTTTAACAAATTAGGAAAATAACATCAGCTCCCTTTTCCAACATGTACTGGCATTAAAAAATGCAGCTAACACCAGATCTGTATGCCTGTAAAAAAAAATTTACGTTTTTGGATATTTCTTAGAATCTTTGCTTTGGTCATCTCTAGAAATCTTAAAAGCCTTTTGTTAAGAAGTAGTGCTACTATCTTCTGAAAATCTTACACCTTTGCTTAAAAAAACCTGCCATCTAAAGAAAAATTGCAGTATCTAAGCAAAATGGAGGTAAATGAAGAGTACCAGGGGCGGAATGCTTGGAAGAAGTGTAAAATAATAGTGACAGACATGCAAATTTGAACATAACCATCCAGAACTTTGACAAAAATTTCAGTATGTAATCGATGCATAAATACCGAACCGAACTCCGGTCAAGTACAACTAAATTACGTACTTGCTATCAAGAAACTTTTACTTTATAATTCACACAACACCCTAGAAACGAAACGTGCTTAAAATTGACGGTGTATGATTAAATTGATTTGTAAAAAGTTTCCTTGACAGCTGATGGATAGTTTACCTAACTTGATAACCGACTTTCTCTTTGCTTTGGCTCTGAATAAAAACTTATGGGAAATCAGATAAAACAATCGCAACATCTTTACCTGTTGCGATTATATATGGTTTTCGTCGGCATGGCGGAAGCTATTCAGTTTCCAAAGACTCAATTTTTTTCCTCTACGAGAATGGTTACCGACCAAACTATGGCTTAATATTAACACCTTCTTATCAAAGCAGCATTAGCTGACACTTATAATCATAACAAAGAAAACTTGGGTCGCTTGGACTGATCACTCATCCGATAAAGTGAAAATGGTAGAATTACGGATCCACACCGAGAAATATGGATTCGCTATGTGAGGCTTTTCACGAAATCGCAGTGCTGATTTCAATGAAAAATATACACCGCAAAAATCTATATAAACCAATACTTACTGGTAAATTCAGAGAAACTTCTCGATTGCACTCATGGCAATAGAATCGTTCATTTGCTCTTTCGACAGTAGCTTCGGCCATCTTGAGAATTTCACAAGCATCGACATTTCTCCACTACCATTTTTGGAAAAGATGACGTCATCAAATAGGACTCAACAGTTAGTCATATATCAACTATCACATATAAATCTAAGGGGAAAATAAAGAGCCTGTTTGTAGGGACCAACGTATAGTCTTTGTATTTTCCTAACTTACCATATTTCCACTCTACTTTTATGTATCGAGCACTGTACTACGGAAAAATCGAAACACAGACTTCCTACATCTAATTCAGGGCTCGAAATTAACGGTAACCGGTTAACCAATGGTTAGTAATTTTCAACGTTTGGTTACTAAAAATGTGTCTAACTAACCCGACATGGTTAGTAATTAATTTTCTAACATATTCTGTACAAAGAACACGTAGACCCGACTCTCAGAAGAACACTTAGAATACTCAAGTTGTTAAATCAACTTAAACTCTTTTTAGAGAATGTGCTGTAGATGTACTGTTCTTGACTAGTCATGGTAAACGAGAGGGAAATAAACTAAGTGCATAATTGTCAACGTTTTTAAGGTCACCATGCAATTTCAGCCACTCTTTAATTTGTCCTAGTCGTT